GAACTCAAGAGGAGACACCTCTAAGGGACCCAAGAAGGACTTCGATAAAGGAGTCAGATCCGAGTAGTCTCGAATGGCTCAGAATGACGACAGGAAGGGGAGCTTTAAGGTGCCCATGTCTTCGACCCGAGCCACTAGTCGAGCACTTCACTCACCAAACCTTTTTGGACACCCAGTCCCTTCTAGCATGCAGGTGCATACACATTAATTACAGACTTCTGAGTACTTGATTGACTCATTGCTCTAAATTCTCCATGAATCTATATCCCAAATTGAATGCTGAATTGAAGCTTTTATGTGTATATGTGATATGGACTGCATTGACTTATGACTATGCTAGAATAAGGATGAGATAAAATTGAATGAATTGAATGGAAAATATCTCAGAGTTTTCCTATTCCTAATTGAATAGAAGTCACCTATTTAATAATCGGGCAGAAAGCGGCCATCAACTCAAACTCTTTAATTATGCTGGCTTGAACTATCACTTCTATTTTTGCATTGGAATTGTATTCTATATTACCATACATGGCACTTAACCACAAACCACCATATAAGAGTGGACAAATGATTGTGCATTGCATTTATTGGATTTTCCTAGAGATACAGAGTCAGACGATGACCTCAGAGGCATACATGCAAACACAAGAATATTCTTGAAATCAGTGCCGAACAAAGAAACATTTCATAGTCCGGGCATACCAGAAGCCAAAGTGACCAGAGTTCAACCGTTTCATTCAAGTCATCATGAAATTTTACTTGCGTCATACTGCCAACAAGCCTAGCGTCCAAGGAAATTTGTGACCTCATGCAAGGATACAACACGCTTTCACTCCTAAGAATATTTTTGTGTTATAGAATATATAGGAGTATTATAGTTGAAGCATACATACAATTATACAAATTATAAGCGAAAGAAAACATCTTGTGGAATACACTTGCTTAGAAGAAAAGGTAACATCATATTTTTGAAACTTTAAACTGATATAATTTGAACTGAAGTTACTAAGTTAGCTATTCAGATTCATAAATTCATAGCAAAAGATTATAAAAATACTTTCACTTACAATATTCGAGATACCTATCTGTGATGGACAAAAAGAGTACATAGATTATGTAGGGCTTAGAGGTCTCATATACAAGATCCTGCATTCTTTCAAAAAGGAGAAAACAGCAAGCTCTCCGTTTGTATTATATATGGCCTGGTTTGTGTTACTGATAGAACATTGTGTGTGTGTATTCCAATTTGATTTGTGTCACCTGCCACCAATAATAATAAAAATTGAAATGCCTTCATCTTTTATAGATGGAAGACATGTGCATATCTTCTAATTAGATCTATCCCTGAAATATAATACATATGTCTAATTAAGCCACACCTGTAGAAATAGTTATGTACAATATAATAACAAACAATAACCAATGCAAATTTCACAAATGCATTCTAAAAGTTTATTTCCAAAGTGGTTGCACAGACACTTGAACCAACATTGGTTTATGTATACATTTCAGTTAAATTGATCCGTGAAACCTTATGGCAGACAGACCACATACATGTCCAGATAAGCAACTGCAATTGGGGCACTAATCTATATATATACCTATACTAATAACGGGACTAGTGTTTCTGCCCATCCGTCATGCATTTTTACAGAAAACCCCCTTATGTTTCGAAGAATCAACCCGCAGTCCTATTTTAAGTGGCCAAACAAATCATTTTTCTGATTTTACCAAAAAAAAACTACACTTTCTGGTAATTAACCCACAGTTTACTTTTAAGTGACAAAACGAATCTTTTTTGCTTTTTTTTACAAAACCACCATGTCTTTTATGATAATTAACCTGCAGTCCGCCTAGAACAAATGTTTTTTTTTGAAATATCCATATCTTTTAAACCATAATTCCAATTTTAACATGTTATATATGAAATTTGCTTAGAAAAATGTGTAGAATCCGAATATGATGTTATTTTTACCTCTTAACCATTTTTAAAATGCTATTTGGAGTGCAATTTTAATCAATAGCACACGATCCGTCTTTCTTTCATACCAGCACCAATCTGGATTGCAAGTGAACACCTAGACAAACAAAATTGGAGACGAAAGAAACCTAGCAAGGGAGAAAAAAACTAATCTTATGCCAAGAGTGAGACGGCTTAGGATTACCACATTCAAACGCGTTGTGATTCTGTAAGCACTATGATCATCGTACGCGAGAATGGGATGACGGACAAACGGCAACACAGATGGGATGTCATGTTGAAATAAAGAACATGGACCTATTGGGGTTTGACTCATGCTTACTGGGTTACGGCCTTACGGGCATGTAGTATCGTTTTCTCGCGTGGCTCTTTTGCTAGTAATATATTAATTTTGAAAACATGAGTCTCAATAAGATACATTGATCAGGCACCACAATTTTGGTGAAACAATTGCTTATAACAGCAACACAAGTATACAGCTGGAAAATGACAGAGGTGGATTGGAAATAAAGGACTCATGCCCAAAGCTAATAAGAAATTGAACAAATAAATATAATTATTTTGCCGTATGGTTATTAACAAACTAATAATGCAGAATTTTTCAATAACATATTTTTATAATGCTTGTAAATTATCTAATTTTATGTTTCTACTTCCTACAAGCTTCCATCCATAGTAAAGTTAATCCAAAACTTCTTTGTGAATTCGTTTCAAAGTCGCTAGCCCCTGCAGGCACGTGGGTTGGCGACTAGTATTCTAACCCAACAGAAGGGTCCAGTGCACAAAAGCATTTTATTAACCATACATTATTGCGGCTATTCCTTGGTCATGTCTAAGTTTTAACTTCAACAAGATGATGTTGGTGTGAAAAGAACATAGATAAGCTAATGTCACATGGTTGGGGAAGTAAATAGTGTGTTACACACCTTTTACATTGGATTTTCAGGAAGTGTAGGTGAGCATGTTTGATGTTTTACCACAAGGTGGTGCACTCAGGGGAAACTAGGTATGCATGTATGTGCATTGTACTCATACCACATACATGTTAGACTTAGAGATATTTAAGTTATGTAATCTCAACTACCCAACTCTATCTCTTCTTCTCTCCCGTGTAATCTTCTATCTCCTCCCGCTGCAATCCTAGCGATCGGTGGGTTCGTGTACTCCACGGCAAGTTTCTGCCCCCAATCAATAAATACACGCGGCTCCTCTATGGAGGAGTAGGAACGCTTCTATCGATCCAATCTAACATGGTATACAGAGCCAAGTCTCTTCCTATCGTCTAGCAAAACCAAAACCCTAAACATCCTTCCATAGCCATGGCCACGAGCTCAAGCGCCGTCGGCCTCAACTTAGGAGCTCCACCAACAGAGAAGCTCGCAAGGGAGAATTACCTCCTGTGGAAGGCGCAGGTCATGCCGGCACTGCGAGGAGCGCAAGTGACCGGCCTTCTCGACGGCAGCAACGCCGCACCGCCCAAGACAATAGAAGTCACCAAGGCGGATAAAACCACGGCCATTGAACCCAACCCTCTGTATGGCCCGTGGTTGTCGAAGGATCAGCAGGTTCTGAGCTACCTGCTGAACTCTCTCACCCAGGAGATCCTTGCACAAGTCATCGGTAAGGATAGCACCTTCGATTTGTGGACTGCTCTCACCACAATATTCACCGCGCAGTCGCAATCCCGCATAACCAATCTACGGATGGCCATCTCCAACACCAAGAAGGGCAACATGTCGAGCAACGCCTTCATCGCCAAGATGAAGAACCTCGAGGACGAGCTAGCTGCAGCTGGGCGTCCGGTCACCGATCCGGAGATGGTGGACTACATATTGGCTGGCCTCGATCGGGACTATGATCCCGTTGTGGCAGCAATCGACGCAATCAAGAACTCCATCAGCGTCGACGATCTGTTCGCGCAAATCTCTGCGTTTGACCAGCGCATGGAGATGCTTGGGGACGGACCAGCAGGCTTCCGCTCCTCTGCCAACTCCGTCTACAGGGGGCGCGGGCAGTCCCGTGGCAGGGGAGGACGTGGCCGAAGCACCAGAGGAGGGCGCGGTCGAGGGAACCACTCTGCTTCATCTCCTGGTCGCGGTGGCTACCAGCAGCAACGGCCTCGTCCCCAACTACAACAACAGCAGCAGCAAGAAGGTGACTATCCAGAGTGCCAAATCTGCTATAAGTTCCATGCTGGTGGCGCAAGAGCGTGCTAGCATCGCTATGATGATGATCATGAGGAGAAGGCAGCCAACCTCGTCACCAACAACTACGGCATTGACACCAACGGGTATGCCGACTCCGGTGCTACCGAGCACATCACCGGGGAACTTGACAAGCTGACGATGCGGGAAAGGTACCATGGTGGTGATCAGATACACACGGCAAGTGGAACCGGTATGGACATCACTCATGTTGGTAAATCAATTGTTAAAACCCCCGTAAAAGATTTACATCTTAATAATGTCCTACATGTTCCAAATGCTTCAAAAAATCTCGTTTCAGTTCATCGCTTTGCTCTTGACAACAACGTTCTTATAATATTTTATCCCTACTCTTTTGTGATCAAGGACTTGGCAACGAGGAGGGTCATACTTAGAGGAAAGTGTGAGGGAGGCCTTTATCCACTCATATCATCTTCATCTTCATCATGGTCGAATAAACAAGCGTGGAGTGTCACCAAACCCTCTTCGGCAAAGTGGCATAGTCGTCTTGGTCATCCCTCTTCAGTCATAGTTAAGCATGTCCTTAGCAAGAATAATCTTCCCTATGAGTCTAGTGTTGAGTCAATTTGTGATGCTTGCCAGCAAGCTAAGAGTCATCAGCTACCTTATCCCATATCTACAAGTGTATCCACTGCTCCATTGCAGTTAGTTTTTTCAGATGTATGGGGACCAGCTCCCACATCAGTTGGCAGATTTTCCTATTATGTTAGTTTCATTGATGATTATAGCAAGTTCACTTGGATATATTTGCTAAAGAAATGATCTGATGTTTTCCAAGTGTTTCTCAATTTCCAAAACCTTGTTGAACGTCAACTAGACTCAAAAATTCTTGCCATGCAAACAGACTGGGGTGGTGAGTATGAAAAATTAAATTCTTTCTTTCAAAAGATTGGAATTTCTCACCATGTTTCTTGTCCCCATGCTCACCAACAAAATGGGTCGGCTGAAGAAAACACCGCCATGTTGTTGAGGTAGGACTAGCACTGCTAGCCAATGCTTCCATGCCCCTAAAATTCTGGGATGAAGCCTTTCTCACTGCCACATATCTCATAAACATTCGACCAAGCAAAGTCATCAAACTTGAAAGTCCCATCACACGTCTTTTTGGTACTAAACCAGACTTCAAATCTCTTCGAGTATTTGGTTGTGCATGTTGGCCTAACCTAAGACCATACAACACACGCGAACTTGCGTTTCGTTCCAAAAAATGTGTATTTTTGGGGTATAGTCCCATGCACAAAGGAGTAAAATGTCTAGATGTTCCCACAGGCCGAGTTTATATATCTCGCGATGTTGTGTTTGATGAATCAGTTTTTCCGTTTGAAACTCTTCATCCTAATGCCGGTGCCCTCCTTCGTCAAGAGATCCTACTTCTTCCATCTACACTTCGAGATTTTGATCACGGGGGAAACAATTGCAATAACCAACATGATGATAGTATCCCTACTGGAACCAGTCCTTGTCTTCCGTGTGTGCAGGTTCCTGAAGAAAATGGCGTCCAAAACAATCAAAATGATCAAAATCCCATTCAAAACAATGTTGTATTTCATGTGGAAGAAGAGGATGAAGCTGGCACGGCGAACGAGGAAGATTTGGCGGCGCCTGCCACCCCTGCGCGCCGATCCGCCTCGGATCAGGCGCGGATATCCGCCTCGGATCGCGAGCCGGTCGACCAGGCGCGGGCGACACACTCAGCGCCCGACATGTCCCCACGCGCAGCGCCCAACACGTCCCCACGCGGGGAATCTTCCTCGGCTGGCGCGTGCATGAAGCCAATCGCAAGACGCGGCTCGCGCGCACGTCCGCCAGGCCTAGCTGGCGCGGGATCCTCTGCGGCAACAGGTGGGGCGGCGCAGACTGAAGAAACCACACCCGTGGCCACTGGATCCGGTGCGGCATCTTCTGATTCCTCCCCAGGATCTTCTGCGACCAGCAATGCAGTGGGCCAGCGTGTACATCAGCCTCCACCAATCACATCAAGAGTTGCAACTCGGCTACAAAAAGGTATTAAGAATCCAAAAATCAGAACTGATGGCACTATTCGGTATGGCATGTTGTGTATTTCAGGCGAGCCAACAAAATTGGATGATGCACTTGGAGATCAAAAGTGGAAAAAGGCTATGGATGAGGAATACACAGCTTTGATGAGAAACAAAACATGGCATCTGGTGCCAAACAAGAAAGGTAAAAATATTATTGATTGCAAATGGGTGTATAGGATCAAGAAAAAGGCAGATGGCTCCATTGACAGGTATAAAGCACGTCTCGTTGCTAAAGGTTTTAAGCAACGTTATGGTATTGATTATGAGGATACATTTAGCCCTGTGGTTAAAGCTGCGACAATCAGACTTGTGCTTGCTATTGCCGTGTCTAGGGGATGGAGCCTAAGGCAGCTAGACGTACAGAACGCGTTTTTGCGTTCTGGAAGAGGAGGTCTATATGAGGCAACCACCAGGTTATGAAAACAAACAAAAACCTCATTATGTATGCAAGCTTGACAAAGCTCTTTATGGTTTGAAACAAGCACCTAGAGCATGGTACTCTAGGTTAAGTATGCAGTTAAAACGTCTTGGCTTTATTGCATCAAAGGCTGACACGTGTCTCTTCATATATAACAAGGCAAACACTGTTATCTTTTTGCTCATATATGTAGACGACATTATAGTTGCAAGTTCTTCTCAGAAAGCTACTGATGCTCTTCTGCATGACCTAAGCTCAGAATTTGCTTTAAAGGATCTTGGTGATCTGAGTTTCTTCTTGGGCATTGAAGTTAAAAGGGTTCAGGATGGTATAGTATTGAAACAAGAAAAATATGCAAATGAACTCTTGGCTCGGATGGGAATGAAGGATTGTAAGGTATCACCTACACCATTATCTTCATCAGAACAATTGTCAGCATATGAAGGGGAGCCACTTAAGGAAGAAGAAAGTACCAAATACAGAAGTGCTGTTGGTGCCTTGCAATACTTAACCTTAACACGGCCAGATATTTCTTTTGCTGTTAACAAAGTATGTCAATACTTACATTCTCCCGCTTCTACTCATTGGACAGCTGTCAAGAGGATTATACTGTATGTAAAGCACACTATAGGTTTGGGACTTCATTTCAGACGGTCCAACTCTACACTTGTTAGTGCTTTCTCTGATGCAGACTGGGCAGGTTGCAGTGATGATAGAAAATCAACAGGTGGTTTTGCTGTTTTCTTTGGTTCTAATCTTATTTCATGGAGTGCCAGGAAACAAGCAACAGTGTCAAGGTCAAGTACTGAAGCTGAGTATAAATCTTTGGCAAATGCTACTGCTGAAATTATTTGGCTTGAATCTTTGCTTGAAGAATTGGGAGTAAAGCAACACCGTATTTCATGTCTATGGTGTGATAATTTGGGTGCTACTTATTTAAGTGCCAATCCTGTCTTTCATGCCAGGACCAAGCATATTGAGATAGACTTTCATTTTGTACGTGAAAGGGTGGCAGAGAAGAAGCTGGAGATCTGCTTCATTCCTTCACGAGATCAAGTGGCTGATGGGTTCACTAAAGCTCTACCATACAAACCATTTGAAGCATTCAAGAACAATCTCAATTTAGGATAGGTAGTCTAGATTAAGGGAGGGTGTTAGACTTAGAGATATTTAAGTTATGTAATCTCAACTACCCAACTCTATCTCTTCTTCTCTCCCGTGTAATCTTCTATCTCCCTCCCGCTGCAATCCTAGCGATCGGTGGGTTCGTGTACTCCACGGCAAGTTTCTGCCCCCAATCAATAAATACACGCGGCTCCTCTACGGAGGAGTAGGAACGCTTCTATCGATCCAATCTAACAATACAAAGCATGTTTCCGCAAAGCAACGATAGGCAAAGAGTGAACTTCTTACACTTGAACCGAAGAAGTAGAGACTCATCATATTGCCGAAGAGGTGACCTGAGTCATAGTGGCTGAAGGCATTAGTGAGCAATGTGTGCAACCGCCCGCTCTTGAGATTGTCCAGCGAAATCTGCTCATCGCAACATTCATCAAATTACACTTCAACAACCACTTGTGAAATCAAAGCAAGGTCCCTTTGATTGATCACTAACCGAGAAATGTTCCTTCATGAAATCCGGACTGGCCATGTGCCAGAGCATGTAGACGGCCACATTCGCGCCCATAAGCATCAACACCATCCCGTCTGCTGATGGTAGCCAGCGCCCCCTTCAGGAGACACGAAAACCAAAATGACCAAACAACCCAAAACTTCCCCTTGTAATTAGGTCGTACCACCAGCCAAAACCTCACCAGGGTACGCGGCGGAGGAATGTGGAGGACGAAGAGAGCAAGTCCGAGGACCTCCTCCGCTGCAGCGAGAAGAGCTCGAGCGACCCGGCGGCGCGCGCGGTCAGCCACCGCTTGGCGGCGGCCCGGGCGGCCGCCGCAACGGCCGCCGCGCTAACCGGCAGGAGCGTACCGGCGCTGGCTGGGCTACGCCAGAGGGGGTGGGAGTGGGACAGCGGGGAGCTGGAGGCGGCTGCTGGCGTGGAGGGGCAGTGGAGGAGGCGGCTGTGGGGGCTGGGTAGGGGTCTGGGTTTTGGGAAGGCGCTGCGGAGGGCTTGCTGCGCGAGGAGGGCCTGGAACTGCGGCAGCCTCCTCCGCATCGCCATTTCTGCTTCCACCAAGACACGGATTGGCTGCCTCCGTCGCCGACTCCCCGACCTCGGGCAGTAGCCGCCGGCGCGGTTTTGATTCCCTTCCGATCTCCGGCTCGGGGAGGAGTGGGGATCGGGGAGCTCCTATAGTCCTATTTAGCGCATAGGGCGGCGCGGCGAGGCGCAACAAACGCGCACCCGACGCGCGCGCTTTGGGCGGGCCCGTTGCAGGAGGAGGCGCCCCAGTCCTTTTTTCCTTTCTTTTGTTCGGTTTTTATTTTATTTTCTGTTTTTTCCTCCTTTTCGAAAAAGTTGGGATTTCAACCTAAGTTTTGAAATTCAACTTTTCTTGACGAATTTAAAAAATATACACAAAAATTAAAAAATCACATATTAGAAAAATGTTCACCAATTAAATAATATTCTTGGATTTCAAAAACTGTTCTCACATTTGAAAAAAATTCATGAATTCGAAATTGTAAGTGTATGTCAAAAATGTTCATAAATTGGAAAACTATTCCCATATTCAAAAAATGTTATGAAATTTAAAAAATGCTCACGAATTCAGAAAATTGTTCAGGAATTTTGAAAAAGCACCAAATTTCAAAAATATCTGTTGATTCAAAAACTGTTCATGAATTTGATTTTCCCAAAATTTTCTCTAAATATTTGCCAATTCAGAAAATGTTCATGGATTTAAAAAATTATTTCCAAATTTCCAAAAAATGTGTTCGATTAAAAAGGTGTCAATTCAAAAAATCACAAATTTTTTAAAAAATGGGAATTTAAAATTATTCCCTGATTCAAAAAATAAGAAATAATTTAGAAAATTGTTCCAGACTTTTTAAAAATATTCCGTATTAAAAAATCAGATAAAAGTAAAACCCTGTTGGGAGAAAGGCACGTGAAAATTCGTAGATATGGGCCTATCAATATCTGAGCGAGAATCGTGGGGGGTGAGCGTTTGAATCCCTATGAGCCACTCGGAGAGCTCCTCACCGGCGTCGTCAGCGCCGGTAAGGAGTTCGGGCGCCTACGTGC